ATATCGTTCGTCATCTTCGACGGCTTCACCACTCTCTTCCCTGAAAAACCAAACTAAATGAGATTCCCAAGCATGAACAAACGCACACACACCCAATTTAACATACCAAAATTATTAAAGACCTTTACGAGTCTGAGGGATTTTTTCCTGGCGATTTGGAGGTATCGTCTTCTTCTTCTATTGACCTTTGAAAAGATTCCCTTTCTGCGTCATCTCTGTTCGTGGGAAGAAGAAGTATGGGTTTTTCTGTGTAATAAAGCTTTTTTTCGGTTCGGAGGTGGGAAGCGTCCTCGCAGGGTTTTATCATCGCTCTCACGACGAAGGATGTCGCTTGGGCTCGACACGCTTGGCCCATAAAGTGTTAAACAGTCCTGGAAACATCCCAATCATAATAAACACCCCGTAATCCATATTCTATAACAAAATTTTGAGCCCAGCCCAATCATCCTTATATCATCCACTATCACGTAATAAGTTATTATATTACATTTTAAATAATGAATATTACATTTTTTTAACCTAATTACTTCTAATACTATTACATTATATTTTTTCTTTAAAATTTTATATTTTTTTATTTTTTAATAAATTAAAAAAATACCAACTTTTCTCTTATACTATTTAACTCTAAATTAATTAAAATTTAATATGTTTTTTAGATATTAATTAGTAAAAAGATAAATTAAAAAAATATAATAATTAATTAAAATTAAAACATATAATATTTTTTTTTGAACACAAAAAATTATGAGATATGAAAAACTTTCAAGTTATTAGTGAAAATCAAATTCTCAATTAACTTAATAGATTTGGGATAAATTATTGAGACTGAAAACTCAATTCTAAAATTAAAACATATAATATTAATAATTAAGATTGTGAGAGTAACAGCAAGCATGACCAGCCTATCACTGTTTTATTTTTAATATAAATTTGTGATAAAAAAATATATTTAATATATTTTTAAAACATATATTAAATTTTTTTTAAAAATTAAATAAATTTAATTAAAGTAAAATGGCATCATATCGAATTCAAAATTCAGAACAAGTAAAAAGTCAAAGATCAGCTAGAAGAGCAAAAAAGCAAGCAAAAGGATAGAAAGTAAAAAAATTAAGAAGAAAATATTTAAAAAAAAAAAAAGGCTTAGCTTGTCAGTTGTCTGGGCCTACTCATGCGGTTGTCGGTTGTTGAGCCTAGGAGCAGACAACCCCCAGCTTGGGCCCTCGGTTACAACCGCAACCTAGGCTCAGCTCAACCAATTACAAAAAAAAGCCCGATCCACCGGTTGCAGTTACAGGCGGGCACGAACTTTTTTGCGGTTGCGGGCCTAAATGACCAGCCCTATATAATATCTAATTTAATTTGAAAGTTTATGGGCTTCAGGCAATTCATTATTATTATTTTTTTCCCTTATCTAGTTCCGTTCATTCTGGTTCACTAGTACGGACAAAGCAAAAACATCGACTCTTACATTAATTCCGAAAGAGATGAGTGGGGAAGGGAAGGTAGTCGGCGTCACCGGAGCATCGGGATTCATAGCATCTTGGCTCGTCAAGCTTCTGCTCGATCATGGGTACACCGTTAAAGCCAGTGTTCGTGACCCAAGT